CTGGATTCCACTGCCACCATCCCCTGTTCTCAAACTCATTAGCCACAATAGTAGACACCTGCAATGCCAGTACTCTGACAAGCTGAAGCAAGAGGATTTCAAGTTTGAGCCCAGCCTAGATAACTTAGTGAGTTAGCAAGACCCTACCTACATAAATACATACATGTTGAGGACACTGCTCAGCACAAAAGCATGAACAGGAGAACTTGCTAAGATCAAAACTCTCAGTGTTCCAGTTATCAGTGATGGGTTCATGGGTTTACTTTGTATTATTAGTATATAAGCTTGTAACAAAATGATGACATCATGAAGCAAAAATTAAGATTAATCTGATTCTATATAATACCTACGGTCTATTTAAATAATAATAATGGTGCCAACCTATCTATACAGACTAATCTCTCTTCTCTCATGGAACTTACCACGATAGTAGATGAAGAGAGACAACATAATATATCATAACATATACAGAATATTAAACAGTACACTGGTCAGCTTTTCAGTTGCTAGGACAAAATACCTGACACCCACAACTTAAAGGAGAGAAGGTTTATTTTGGCTCACAATTTCAGAAGTCTCAGTCCATGATGGGCTGCCTCCAAGCCAGAAACATCACTCCAAAAGAGTGTGGTGGAGGAAAGCTACTCAACTCATGGCATCCAGGAAGCAAGGGAAGAAACAGGAAAGGACAAGGGACCAGACAGATATAGTTCCCAAGGTCACAAACCTATGACCCACCTAGACCCACTCCTAGGCATCTGTTAAGCCAATCAAGCTAATCAAGAATAATCATCAGCAACAGTATAAATTTACTTATTTTGTTTCCTAACTAATTGCCTCTTCTAGAATGTAAGTTCCACAAGGGCAGAAAGTTTTTCTTTGCTATATCCATTTAATATATATAGTTCCACTTAATGTATAGTCAGTAATCAATATTTTCTAAATAAATAAATAATATGTGGCAAAGTAGGTACTCAATAAATGTAAACTGTTACTGTCATTTCATTGTATCTATAGCGTAGTCTTCACTTCTACAATGAAAAGTGAATTCTGAAAAGGCAAAATACCTTGCCTTCTACAATGCTGGAATGTTGATAAAAAACTGCAACCTAAAGTTCCATTAAGTGATTCTTATGACTTAAAAAATCAGTTCCCTAATTATATAAAATGAGATTAGGAAATGTTGCTAATCTGTATAACTATGGGTAATCTTACAAATTCATTTTTTTAAAGTCTCTCTTTTGTGAAAATTTAAAAGAGTAAATTTAAGGCAAATAAAATTGAGCAATATGTCTGAAATTAGACCTGTTAAAGAATGGTCTAGCAAAATAACAAAGATAAATACTACATGTTCCCACTTGTTTATGGAAACTAATAAGTAAATCTTGTAGAAAAATAAATGGAATAGGAATCACTAGTGACCAAAAAGAGCAGCAAGGAAAGATAGAAATAAATTCAACAAGGGGCACCAAAACACAGAATGGACAAATTACTTTTTTCTTCTTTAACACAGCAGGACAACTATAGGTTAAAATAATGTATGATATATTTCAAAATGATTAGAAGAGTACTAAATTTCCAAAACATAAAAAAGGATTAATATTTGAAGTGGTGAAAGCATTTATTACCCTCATTTCATTATTACACATTGTATATATTTATTAACTTACCATAATGTACCCTATAAAGATATATAAATACTATATCTAAAAAAACTAATTTTAAAACAAATGGTCTAGAATTCCTGGATTCCGAATCACATTTTTGGCTCACTGCTTACCATCTACCATGATTACAACTGCTTTACACTATTACTTTTTATCATCTGCTGTTCAACTTTGCTACCGAGCTAATTAAACTGAATTATAAAAATCACTTTGACCAAACTGTACATACCAAGGCAAAACTTCTAGAAGCCAAAATAAGACAGGGCAGCAGAAGTCAGAACTGTGCACAAATAAAATAAAGATCTTTTTTGATTGTCCCAAAACATATCAGAAGACACCACAAAATGCCAACAAAAGAAAAATAGTCTGACAAGACTAAAGGAGTTGAACCAACTAGAGTGAAAATGACTCTAGCAAATGAAATTAGATTTATAATAGTACAACTGGTGTATTTTTCTGCAGTAGATTACATTACTTTTCAGAGTTAAAAACTATCAATAGGGTATTTGGTCAGTATTTTTATGTACTAGAAGTGCTGCTAAGTGCGGTAAGGAACTGAAAGAAATGTAGGCCAATGAGCTGAGTATCTCAGGTGGAAATCAAATTAAAAGCATTCCAAATACTAGACAAAAGCTTTCAAATGAATACACTATTCCAGCAATGAGTGAGGTGCTAATTTCACACAAAACATGTCCTAGTCCATTCTTTTCATTAAGTTTACACTACTTTCAACCTCTGTGCTAACCTTTCCTGAGTTGCAGTTCTGTGCGCCTTAACTTTTCCTTTGTGTTTCCTGCCATATCCAGTGTGCTTAGTTCAGTTGGGTCCTTCCAAAATCTGAAAGCTAATAAATCCATACCATATTTACAATTTCCTTTTTATTCTCTCCCATATTTTTTCTTCATAACTCTTTTACTTTTCTACCACTATCTTATACTAATTGTCTTCTTCACATTTTTCTTTATGTTAATGTCATCAATAAAAATGTATTATAACTAAAAACTACAGATATTGTTGATCTTTGTTATAATTAATAATTATCAGAATGAAAGACTCAAAGATAACAGAATGAGAAGCAGAAAGAAGACCTTAACGATGAAGTAACCATGTATCCCAGTTTCTCATTAGAAGTCTAAAATAAGGTCAAGACTGAGGCCAAACAAGCTATCAAATTTGATTGATTATGGATGCCTCATTGAAAGATGAAGATGTTTTGCTGTCCATTCATGCAGGAACATAGAAGTAGCATGAACATAACTTCTTTCATTATAGTTTTCTATATTTTCCCCTGTATTTCATCAGAGGCTAGACAGGGTCCTGGGGTTTTTTTCAATGCAGATAAATAGCAGGCAGAAAAGAACTCTATTGACCAAATCCTCAATATAGAATTAAAGAATTTGGGGACATTTTTAACATAAAACTAAAAAGTCCTATCTTTATAGAGCCTGTGCTCACATGAGCTAAAAAAAAAAGATCTTCTGCTTTGCTTAAATCTCACATTTTAACTATATTTTCTTAGGCCCTATTTACATCCTCAAAAGAAAATGAATTTTATTTCCCATTTCAAAAAATGTTCTATTTTTCACAGAAAAGAAATAAAGCAAACAATTCTCACTGGCCTGATTTGAGGTGTATGGGTTCCACAAAAAAGCAACATTGCTGTTGATCACTGGTACATACACAGTATAAACAATCTACTCCTTTTCCCTGCTGCCAACACCTTTTAGTCTTATGAGGAGAAAATAAGTTTAATTGAAATCTAGATATTTTAAAACAACTTCCTTCCTGTGTCTCTTCCTACAGTGAAGCAAAAATTGGAAATTTATGCAAAAGGAAAGCTGTATATGTTCTGAGGGCATATTTTTGTGAGAATGCAAAAAGTACAGGAGGAATATGAGGAAGATGACTCCTGGGTACCTGAATATTACTTCTCTATAGAATTTCTTTCCTTTTCAGTTTTTTGCAACTAACTTAAACACACACTCCTTTTCAGAGAGGAAAAAACTCAGACCATTTACAAGCTTTCACTGCTCAGAATCTAGACCTATGCAAAATGTAACATATTTGGGGTTTTTTACGGCAAATTATTTCTCTATCACTTTTCTCTTAAATTTTATTCTAGAAATCCAGTAATCTGCACAGTCTCATGGAAATAACTTCTAATGATAAAATGTCAGGTGTTATATTAAGAGGGAATAAGGGCATTTATTCCTTGAAAGAGTGTGCAATAAGCAACAATGTTTTAACCTTTAATATGCTAGTGAGTACACAGGACTTCCAAAAGGCAGCTCTAACATGCAGGCATTTCCAGACTTGACCAGTACAAAATTTACCACTGCACAAAATAATTTGGAAAAAGTTGTACATGGAGAATTCAGAAAAAGCAGAGAGCTCTTCCCCTGTAGTAGAAGAATTAGCTATAACCTCATGAAAGAAAATCTGAGCCACGTCCTGAAGAATGAATAAAATGTGACTATGTAGAAATAGGAAGAAAAGCAGAGAGGATGCTGAATATGGGCAAATCCCTTTCCTTTAGTTATGTATTTACTTCATTTAGGCTGAAGCTAGTCTATCCTCTCCTATGCTGCAGGTCCAGTCTAGTCTAGAGCAGCATCTATTGTTCAGATTCTATCCACACCCAGCTGCCTGATTAGGCATGAAGATACAGCTCTGCAGAAGAGGGGAAGGCAATGAGAAGAGATGCTAGGTAGGAGAGAGGCAGCTCTTGAAGATAGAATGTTCAACACCTTTAACATCTGTTTTTGTTGTTTTATTTTTCTTTTGGGGGGCTTGTGATTTGGTTATTGTTGTTGTTTATTGTTTTTGTCATGCTGGGGATTAAACCCAGAGCTTTATGCATGCAAGGCATTGCTCTACCACTGAGTTATATCCCCAGCTCCGTGAACTCCTTCCAATTTCCTTAATTTAATTTTCTTATGGTTAAAGCAAGTTAATATATCTTGCCATTGCCAAATGCAGATTTTAAAAGATAAAACTCACCAAAATAAAAAAATCCTCACTTTTCTATGTATCTATAAACAAAGTTTCTAAATGTAAGACCGAGGGCCTTACCAAATGCTCCAAGGAGCTGACTGCAGCGAAGAACACCCGGGAAGGAACACACTGGACAAGATGGAAAGTAAAACAGACCTTTATTAGTCTGGCCAGACGGCACTCCCAAAGCCAAGTAGCTTAGAGAGGCAACTGGCTCAGAGTCCAAAGCTGTTTTTATAGGGGGTCTCAGGGGAAGTTGGCAAGCAGAAATACAAAAGTGGAGGAGAGAGATAAAACAGACCTTTTACAGAATGTCCTTAAGATAACATATTCAGATATGGAGTTGGGCAAGCATGACGGAACACTACGCACACAACAGACCTTCCTGGCACAACAACAAGCACATCCCTGGAACTTGATGTCTACCTGGTGATCCGTAACAGAAGCAGAAAGTTAGGGCCCTATTACAAAGATGGAGTAACTGTTGTTCAGTCTCACATTCCCCACTGATTTTTTCCGTAGCTGTGCAATCTTATACAGCATTATCTTGGTATTCTTGTCTCCATCTTTGTTCTTCCTCATCTAGCTCACTTAAAGGATGATATTTGGCCTGTTGATTTAAAATCATTAGGTGAACAGATTCTATCTGGCCCCTTACATAGGCCATAAGCTTATTAATAATGCATGGGCCAAAAGTCAAAGCTAGTAACAAGATTAACAGGGGTCCAGCAAGGGCAGAAACAAGGGAGACCAGTTAAACATTGACTGGAACCATCCCTCCTGTTTTATCAATCTATTATAATTTTTTTGTAGATGTTTATTTATAGTGGCCAGAGTTTCTCTTATTATTTCAGATTTGTTAGCATAATAGTAACATTGTTCTCCTAGGGGTGTACATAGCCCTCCCTCTTTTATAAATCCAAGGTCAAGTCCTTGGCAGTTTTGAAGGACCATCTCAGCCAGAGAATCAACTTGTTTTTCCAAATGAGACACTGACTCAGTAAGTCTATTTTTACCTGTTGGGCAAGGGTCTTGAAATTAGAGTCTTGCAGTCCTATTGCGGTCATGCCCAGAGCTGCTGATCTTGTAATGCCTGTTGTAGTTAACACAGGAATCAATTTGGGTGGCGCTTCTCTTGGGTGTGTGTTCTCTTAGTTAGGTATTCCCAACCCTGGTCTTTTTCATATATAGTGACTTGGGGTAAAATGTGGACCATTACACATACCTCAAGTTCCTGATTGAGGATTGTCATGGATTGACAACCTCACTTGTTTCCAATCACACTCATTCTGGTCAGCTTCTGAGAAGGTGCCGTTTACTGTCAACCCTACATAATACGGGGGATGTGGACTCAAACAGAGCCAACACCCTTGAGTAAGATTGGAGCTAGACTCATTTAACAGTGTGTACATGGCATCCAGGGTTTTGCCTTTTCTTTTTCTTGGGGGCCGGAGACCCTATAAATGTTGTCTACCAGTTTAGGCGGTACTATTACTGGGCTACGCTGGATGAGGAGGTCAGTCATAGGGTCCTTTCCACCCACATAGCGTGTTACCGTCCAGGATTTTTCTTTTTTTCAATCCTTATATGGATTTTGTCATTGTTTTAAGGTTAGCTTGATGGGATTACATTTTTCTTTGGAGCATGAACCACTTGGTATTTGTTGTTCCAAGGCCAAATACACATCATCGTTTTTTCATGGGGCAATAGATTTGTAACCCCAATGATGACAATGGTTTTCTGGTCCCCCATTGCACCTTTTATTTTTCCCTACGGGGCAGGCATAAATATCTATATCTTGGAGGGGTTTTTTCAACTTATCATCTATTCCACACCTCCCTCTGTGTCCCCCTTTACCCATCTTTCCAGATGAAACTTTACCCTTTGATCCAGCCCCTCCACCACTAATGATTGGAAGCCCCAGAGAACACAGGTCTATAATAAAATAGGGCTGTCTATCAGTAGTAATGGTGGCAATGTGAGCTCCCATTAAGGCATTTTTCAAGGACCAAGTCCAGTTCTGGGGAGTGTGGCTGGACAACACCAGCTGGCATCCAGATCCCCCTTCCATTGGGGCTGGTAAGAACAGTAGCCCCAAGAACCCCCATATTGTCCAAACTAGTCTTTGATCAATCTTATCTTGAGGAGGTCCTTTGTGTTCCGATTGATCTGCCATGTTGATGTTGCTTCCTCCGGGGGGGGCTGCCTTTAAATGGCTGTGGTGGATCCAGGCAGAGTGTCTAGCTACCTTCACTGCTGAGGGAGTCACCAGGATGATGGGAAATGGTCCCTTCCAGAGGGGTTCAAGGGTCTTGGAGTCAAACCTATGAATGAAAACCAAATCCCCCAGCTTATAGGGTAAGGGTTGTAAAGGTTTTTCACTGGGAACAGGCATAGTTTTTTTCAGCTTATCATGTAGCTCTGATTGAAGCTGATGAACTGCTTTTAGGGACTTAAGGAGTTGGAGGTGGGAAAGTCTTTCCTTCAACTCCAAATCAACCAGAGCAATGATAGGGGGAGATCGCCCATAAATGATCTGGAAGGGTGACAGATTTAGGGGCAGCTTAGGGGAACACCAGGTACGAAGGAGGGCAAAGGGGAGAACTTCTACCTAACCTTGTTCAGTCTCCAGGCATAATTTAGTTAGAACCTCTTTTAAGGTTTGATTTGTTTTTTCTATTTGTCCTGAACTCTGAGGCCTATAAGCACAATGCAAATTTTATTTTATCCCTAAAGACTTACTGATGAATCGAGATAATTTAGCTGTAAAGGCTAGGCCATTGTCAGACCCCAGAACTAAGGGCAAGCCAAAACGAGGAATTATTTCTGTCAAGAGCCTTTTGACGGTTACCTCGGCTGTCTCTCTCTTAATAGGAAAGGCTTTTATCTATCCTGAAAAAGTATCTACAAAGACTAATAAGTACTTGTACCCATACATGTCGGGTTTTATTTTAGTAAAATCCAATTCCCAATGTTCTCCAGGAGTTAATCCTCTATATCGGACCCCTGGGGGTATGGTCATCCAGTTTGTGTTTACCTTGATACAGGCGGGGCATCATCTCACTAGGTCTTGGGCCTTTTGTGCCATTCCCTTGCTGATGAAATGGGGTCACAGAGTGGCCATCATTTTTTTTCTTGCCAAGGTGGGTGGACCCATGTAGTTCTTGTAGCAGTGTGTCTCCTACAGCATCTGGGAGCACCACTTTTTCATACTCAATCGTCCACCATCCATGTTTACCTTGGGTCCACCGTTTTTTGGTCATTTTCACCATTTTTTTATCTGTGTACTCTGGTTTCTCTAGCAGCACTGCTGTGGGGAGCAGAACCATCTGTTTCCCCACTGATTTTTGGGCAGCCTGTTTTGCTGCCAGATCAGCTGTATTATTACCAATCACCTCAGGGCTAGCCCCCTTTTGATGTCCATGAACATGGATGATAGCAACCTCTCGTGGCAGCCAAATAGCTTGTAACAATGTCAATATCTCAGTTTTATTTTTAATTGTCTTTCCTTCAGATGTCAGTAGCCCTCGGTTTTGATAAATCTCCCCGTGCACATGGGCAGTGGCAAAGGCATAATGGCTGTCTGTGAAAATATTTATTTTTTTACCTTTACCTAGTTCTAGAGCCTTGGTCAGAGCAATCAACTCAGCCTTTTGTGCTGACGTCCCTTGGGGCAGCCCTTGCTCCCATTCCACCTGTTGGTCCTGGTTGACCACCGCTGCCCCAGCACATCGTACTCCATCATGCATGAAGCTGCACCCATCAGTATAGAATGTGACCTCCACCTGGGGGAGGGCCTGGTCCATTAAATCCGGACACCCTCCCCATAAATTTTCAAGAGTCTCAAGGCAATCATGGATGGGCATCTGTTCGTCAGACTCTGGGAGTAAGGTAGCTGGGTTGAGGCTAGCGGTGGTGGCAAAGTTGATGTGCAGCTGCTCCAATAGGAGTCCTTGGTATTGTAACAATCTGGCATTAGATAGCCACTTGCTAGGGGAGCTGTTTAATAAGGGCTCAATGGCATGGGGAGTGACTAAAGTCAAATCCTGTCCGAATGTCAGTTTGTCAGCCTCTCAGGTTAGAGCAGCTGCTGCTGCTACAACCCTCAGACAGGTGGGCCACCCTCAAGCCACTGAGTCTAGCCTTTATGAGAGGTATGCCACCGGCCATTTCCATGGTCCCAAAGGCTGAGTTATCACTCCCTTAGCTACCCCGTTCTTCTCTGCTATACACAGAGTGAAGGGCTTGGTTATCTCTGGCAATGCCAGGGTTGGTGCTGAAGCAAAAGTAGTTTTAAGCAGTTGGAATGCCTGTTGGCAAGCCTCAGTCCATTCGAGGGGTATATCTCCCCCCACGGTGGCTTTGTGCAGGGGTTTGGCAATTTCAGCAAAACCTGGGATCCAAATTCTGCAATACCTGATTGCCCCTAGGAATTTATGTACCTGTTTTTTTGAGCTTGGTTCTGGAATCTGGAGAATTGTTGATACCCATGATTCTGCCAGCCTCCTCTTTCCTTCCTCAAGAATATAGCCCAAATAGATTACCTTGGTCTGGCAAAGCTGAGCTTTTTTCCAAGACACCCAATATCCCAGGTCTTGGAGAACTTCCAGGAGGCCCTTGGTGGCCACAAGACATTCTTCATTGGTTGAAGTTGCCACTAGGAGGTCATCTACATATTGAAGAATAGTTGCTTGGGAAAAAACTCTCCTTACCTCTCTTAAATCTTTGTTGAGGGCTTCCCCAGAGTGGGAGAGTTCTCTGAATCCCTGTGGCAGCCGGGTCCATGTCAGCTGTCTGGTAGTCCCAGTGTCTGGGTCAGTCCACTCGAAGGCAGAGAGGGGTTGGCTCACTGGTGCCAGAGGTATGAGGAAAAATGTATCTTTGAGGTCTAGTACTGAATACCACACATGGGCAGGAGGGATGATACTCAGCAGAGTATAGGGGTTTGGTACTGTTGGGTGGATGGTCTCCACCCGGCTGTTCACCTCCCACAAATCCTGTACCAGTCTAAAGTCTGAGGTGCCAGGCTTCCTCACAGGAAGCAGGGGAGTATTCCAGGCTGACTGGCAAGGGACCAAGATGACGGCCTCTTGGAGTCAGTGGATGTGCTTAGAGATTCCCATCTTGGCCTCCAGCCAGAGGGGGTACTGTTGCACATGGATGGGGGCAGCAGAGGCCAGCAACTGGACCACCACCAAGGCATGGTGGTTGGCCAGCCCAGGTGGATTGGTTTCAGCCCATACCCTGGCAAACTTTTTCTGAAGGTAGTCCCATTTTTTTTCAAGGGGGCTCTGTGCCCTCCTTTAGCAATCTAAATTCATCTTCTAGGGGAACCATCACCATAATGGTGGAGGGTGGCTTAAGCTTGAAGGTCCCTCTTTCAGGCTCAAAGGAAATAATAGCCCCCAACTTTCATAGCAAGTTTCTTCCCAGCAGTGGGTACAAGGACTCAGGGATAACTAAGAAGGAATGGGAGACGGTGTCTTTTCCTAGATTCACAGTCTGTCTAGTGGTCCAAGGGTAGGAGGCCACTTTCCCAGTGGCTCTAGTAATGGAGGTTTTTGAGGAAGTGAGGGGTCCAAGGGGGGGTCTTTAAGACAGAGTGGGCTGTACCAGTGTCCACAAGGAACTGAACATCTGTTCCCCCTATCTCCAAAGCCACCATAGGCTCACTAGGCTTAAGTGGTCAGGAGCCTTGGCCCCGTCAATCTTTTTTATCTACTAAGAGGATTTCACCTTTTTCCTTTTGGGTCTCCTTTTTTCTTTTTTTTTTAGCTTTTTACAGTCCTTCTTAAAATGATCCTTTTCCTTACAATAAGCACATTGATCTTTCTCTAATAGGGGTCAAATCCTTCCCTTGCTCCCTTTCTTATTTTTGAGTCTTTTTTTCTGGACAAATCCTCCATCAGCCAAGGCGGCTATGGTCACTTTTCCCAGCCTCTTGGCCATCCTCTCTTTTGGGGGATCTCTATTGTTAAATGCCTTCATGGCTACACTCATCAACTTTTCTCTATTTTCTCCCTCAAATCCTTCTAGTCTTTGTAGCTTCTTTTTAATGTCTGGGGCCAACTGGGTAACAAATGCCAAATTTATTGCCTGCTGATTTGTAGGGGCATCTGGATCAATTGGAGTATATGTACAGTATGTTTCCAACAGATGCTCCAAAAAGGCAGAAGGGGATTCCTCTGGTCCTTGAAGGACCTCGCTTACCTTGCTCAAATTGGTAGGCTTCCGAGCGGCTCCCCTCAGGCCGGCCAGGAGATGCTGACGATAGTTCTGGAGAGCTTCTCTCCTGCCTGAGGTATTAGTTTGCCAGCGGGGTCAGGTGGATGGGAGCTGTGCTTCCAGATGGGCTCACTGTTGGTCATCTAGGGGGCCTTCTGGTCCACCTATTACCAACCTCACAGCTTGTCCCTGGATCCTTTCCCTCTCCTCTGAGGTAAAAAGGGCCTGGAGTTGTTGGCAATCATCCCAAGTAGGATCATGGGTATGGAAGATAGACTCTAGGAAAGATATTAGGGCTTGGGGCTTCTCTGAGAAGGGAGAATTTTGATGTTTTCAATTATATAAGTCACTGGTAGTGAAAGGGATATAAACATAGTGACCTTGTTCTGTCTCCCGAAGGGGCAAGAGGGGGCCAAACTAATTTCCCCAGTGAGGACCTCGCAAGGCCCATACACACCCCCAGCTCGTGTGTGGAGGGGAGAAGTCACAGAGTCTGGGGACTGAGGCCCCTCAGGGAGAGGAGGATAAAGAGGAGTAGGAGCCGAAGGTTGAACAGACAGAGGGAGGGAAGGATTGCAGAGTCTAGAGTGGGAGCCATCTGAGGGGGTGGAGGATTCCATATAGGGCGGAGGCCCTCCTAAGGGATCCAGGGAGTCAGGTTCCTTCGAGAGAACCAGCTTAGGAGCCCGGGGCTTAAGTTCCCGGGGCCCTTTTGGGGCAGTGACTAAAATGCGAGTGTCTGTTCAGAGGGAACAGCGCTGCAGCCAAGCTGGAGGTTTCTCACAAGCCTGAACCCAGATGTCTATGTAGGGAAATTGGTCTGGGTGGCCACGGCAACCAGTGACTTTGCCCCAAACTGCCTGGCAAACACTGGGGTCAAAAGTCCCTTCGGCTGGCCATCCCACCCTGAAAGCTGGCTATTCCAGTTGGCACAGGGAGCAGAGTTTTCCGCGAGAAAATTTCACCCTGTATTCATCTTTTTGTTTTGGAGAAAAAGCCAATTTAAAATTAGTGAGAAAGCAGTCAAGCGGAGTGGACCCGGTAGAACAGGTTCCTCCCATTACTCTGCTCCTGATGAAGATTGGAAAGAAAAAAATGTAAAATCAAACATACGACAGACACAACATTAACATACAAAAGACAAGACCAACGGGCGCCATGACAAACTGAAACTAAATCTTCCCTTGCTCCTCGTCAGGAACCTCGGGGTCAGGGGAGGCTTCCCGGCTCGTCAGCCACCTCACTCCTGACGGTTGCAACCAGCCAAAAGCTTACCTCCGGAGGTTTTCTGAGGTCTGTGCCTGAGAGTCTCCTGCTGGATCCCACCACGGAGTGTCGGCTGAACCAGGGGTTCCTACCCAGGGATCTCGCTGGAGCCTCCAGACTGTAAGACCGAGGGCCTTACCAAATGCTCTGAGGAGCTGACTGCAGCGAAGAACACCCAGGAAGGAACACACCGGACAAGTTGCAAAGTAAAACAGACCTTTGTTAGTCTAGCCAGACGGCACTCTCAAAGCAAAGTAGCTTAGAGAGGCAACTGGCTCAGAGTCCGAGGCTGTTTTTATAGGGGGTTGTAGGGGAAGTTGGCAAGCAGAAATACAAAAGCAGAGGAGAGAGATAAAACAGACCTTTTACAGATTGTCCTTAAGATAACATATTCAGATATGGAGTTGGGCAAGCATGACGGAACACTACGCACACAACAGACCTTCCTGGCACAACAACAAGCACATCCCTGGAACTTGATGTCTACCTGGTGATCCATAACAGAAGCAGACAAGTTGGGGCCCTATTACAAAATGGAGTAACTGTTGTTTAGTCTCACACTAAAATGTGTAAACCATACTACCACCCTAGTTTACTTGTTTCAGATACAGAGATCTATAAAGTTGTCAAAAATTATTGTCTTTCATAGTGAAGTAGATGTACAGTATTTACAAATTGTTACACTGAATCAAACTCTGTTCCTTCACTTCTGAATCTCTGAGGCATTATTATTATTTGACTTGAATGCATAATATAAAGATAAATCAATAGGGTAAATTTGTTGTAGAAATGTAAGAGGATAGATAGTATTATTTGTTGTGTTCATAGAACTAGGATAAATTTTATTTTATTTACTTGATTATAAAAGTAATTTGTGTTAATTTTTTAAAACTTGGAGACAAGGGCTGGGGGCTCAGTGGTTCTGCTGCCTGCTTCACAAGCGCAAGGACCCAAGTTCGATCCCTGGTACCAAAAAAACCACAAAACTTGGAGACAGGAGCAGTAGCACATGCCTATAATTCTGGCACTTAAGAGCCTGAGCCAATGCCAACGTCAGGTATAAGACCCTGTCATAAAAAAAAGGAAGGGGGGGAGGGAGAGGAGGAGCAGAAGGAGGAGGAAGAAGGGAAAGGAAGGGAAGGGAAGGGAAGGGAAAAGGAAAGGAGCAAGCAACCAAGCAGGCAAGTAGGTGGGCAAACAGACCGGGGGTCATGGTGCACACCTGTAATCTCAGCACTCAGGAGGCAGAGGTAGGAAGACTGCCATGAAATTGAGGCCAGCCTGGGCTACATATTGAGTTTAATCAAGGCCAAGGCTAGCCTGAACTATATATCAAGACTTGTCTCAAAAAACAAAACAAGAGGCTAGGGATTTAGCTCAGTGGCTCCGCTGCCTGCCTTGCAAGCACAAGGTCCTGAGTTCAATCCCTGGTAAAAAATAAACAAAAAACCAACTCAAAAAATGTAAAAAATTCAAAGAGGAAAATTAAAACTATCAAGAGATAACTGCTATCAAATTACTTAAAGTTGAAAGTCTGTTAGCTGTTATGGGAAGATTTGAAAAAAAATTTCTTAAACTGCAGTAAAATACAATAACAAAATCATTTTAAGCACTTCTACATGTTCAGTGGCATTAAGTACATAAAATAGGAATCTGACTTACAGAAAATTCCAGTTTATCAAGTCAGTTCTGAAAAAAATCGCTATGTTGCCTTTAAGCAACAACAACAACAAAAACCCTGCTTATTAATAAATATTACTCAGGGGGCAAAAAGAATATCCTTATAGAATATTTAAGTAACATTAATAAAGACATTCTGACCTAGAAGGAAAAATACTACAGAAGTAAAATGCATGTATAAAATGGCAGGGATTCTCTCAAATTCAAGTTTCTTCATTTCCTGCTAAATGCAGCCATGTGCTTGGGTTGCACTTGCTATCTGTAATCACAGTGTTAGAAACCCTGGTCAGCAAGCCCAATCCTTCATCTCACACACTAAACACTTCCTCTAATGTCAGACTTGCCAAGCAGTACTATCCTTCCATAGAAAGGGAGAACAGTTTGATTTTTGCATATCTTCTCTTGGTTAAAACCTCTCACAATCTCATACATTGAATGCAGGGCTCCAAAGGAATAATCCTATCATATTTGCTTGAAAAAGTCAAGAAAGGCATAACTACACAGATGTTCCCAGCCACAGTGATATCAAAATAGCAAGCACAAAGAAGACTTTTCCTAAAATCACATCAACTTCAGCTGCCATTGAAAAGTACCCAGATGTTCTCAGCCAAGAATGCAATACTCCTAGTATAAAGCAAAAATATTTTTCATTTCATATTATGAAGAAAGAAAAAAGAGAACAGCAGTTTAAGTCCCTTGCCTAAAGTTACTTAGAAATCACAGTGACAATCTAGGAAAGGAACAGTTTAACAAGGATTTAATTCAGTTGGGCAGAGTGTCACGTGCTTGTAGTCCCAGCTGCTTGAGAGGTTGAGGAAGAAGACTGCTTGAGCCCAGGGAGCTCAAGGCCCGCCTGAGTGCCATAGTTAAACTTTATTCTAAAAACAAAAAAGGATAAAATTCATTTTGACCTAATTAAGGCACATGTTGTCCTTAAGAAAGAAAGGGGGAAAGAGAGAAGAGATTAAAAATAGTTCTCAGTAGCAAATCACTACGAAAGGCCCATTCACACATATTCAGGTTCGGTGCATAGGTGCAAAGACATGAACATCTTCAGGCAGCTGAAGGACACAGGATATTGGGTGAGCTGAGCGAAAAGTGCCCTCTTCAAGGTCTGAAAGAGAGGCCATGTTTGGAGAAACATTAGCAATAGCAGTCTAGAGGAATCTGCTTTGGGACTGAAGTGATCAGATGATAGATATTCAGTGCCACAACATGTGTCTCTCAAGTCCTAGGGGTTCACAACGGCTTTCTTTCCCCTTTGCCCATTTGTTACTATCTTTTCACAGTGACTCAGGGGCTATCATTTGCTATGACCCTACTACTGTAAGTGCAAAGCACTGTCTCACAACAACCCAGAGGAAACTGAGGCTAAGAAGACTTAAGTCAGTTTCCTGAGGTTCTCCAGGTAGAAAGTCACAGAGCCAGGATTCAGAATCAGATCTCCGCTCAGCTCTGAAACCCACACCTTTTTCACTCTTCTCTTTGCTAACCTCATAGAAAGCACAATTTAAATGTTCCACTTAAGTTCATAGAAAAAAATATCTCATTCATGACATATTAAAACAGGAACTGCCAAACTTTTTCAGTAAAGGATCAGATAGTGAATATTTTGGACTTTTCAAGCCACAGAGGTTTCCTATTCATTGTAAAAACCATTCTTAGCTTGTGAGGCTGAACCAAAATTGGCCACAGGGTATAGTATTAAGAGAACACAGTCCAACTAAGGTTCAATGGTTCTGATTTCATGAGAAATATACTGCTGATTCAATATCTTAATTTACTACAGTGCTTTTCAAGATTGGGAGAAAAGAGGAAAATGAAAGAGAATGGTAATTCTGTCTAGTCATTTTAAATGCATTCCATTATTAAGTAAAGGGTAAGGAACTATGCTCCCTGTCTCAGAACCCTGCATTAGAGTCATTTAGAAGCTATCAGGCATTTATTTCATTTACTTCCCTTATTTCCATTCTTCCATATTCCAACTTAGGCATTAATCTGTCACTGAAAATCAATGCTTTCTGCAATCTAATTAAACTATTTCAGAGGGCTACAACATAATGAACAGAAACATGGGGAGATTTAAGCTGATCAGAGTCTTTCAATATGATCAAAGGCTTCTGAGGTTCTATTATTTGAAATTATAGAAAATATTTTCCATTTACTTTACAACATTTGTAAAACAGGGTTTGGAACACTCCCTGAAATTTGCAATAATCATCAAGTCCACCTAACATATGCTACAAACTGGATCCAGTTCATCAGCACTAGAATACACTAGTGAGATGTATTTTAAATGACATTCAGAGTTTGCTCTGTGAGGTAAAATAAGCTACAACTTATGATCCCCTACATATTTTCTCTTTATATGCTGAACTTGCATCCAGGATTTGCTCATGAGCCAGCCACAAACAAATGCTTGCCATGTGCCCTGTCAGTTGTCTGGCTGACTTCTGCCTTGTCTACGCAACATAACTTTGTTGTCAAGTCCAAGTGTCTCTGGTTAAAATACTTCCAACTCTGCTGATTCATGCCCAGGGGCTTGGCAGCTACAGAGTTGAAAAGGAAGATGGTCACTGGGGACCAATTTACAGCAACAAATATTATTTTCATTGCTTAGCTAAACAAAGTAGAAACCAGAAGACTCCAGATTCCAAAGACCAACAGCTTATTTCACAAGGCTACATGCAGAACCCATGGCCCATGTAGATAAATACCTACAGATTGATTTTAATCACAGGAACAGCTAGAAATTGGGGCAGGGGTAAGAACAATAAAAACACCTGGGTTTTGCCTTCGGTTTTGCCTTTTCTGTCCAATTTTATAATCCCCACTTAAGAAAATCCTAGACAGTTAAAAAAAGAAAGAAAAAAAAAAAGATTTGGCCCAAGACCTACTAACACACATTAAAGACTTTGAGAAGTGACCAACTGCAAAAGCCAATTACAGAGGTGTACAAAGGGGAAGGCAACTGTCATCAAGATGCAAGAAACATCTAAGGGCATGAAAATATGCTGAAGATTTTAAATATAATATATCATGTAATTATTTTAAACTTGTAAGACAGGAAATAGCACACCCATTTTATAGAGGAAGAACTAAGGCTTAAAGAGAAACTTACCCCAAATCACACAAGTATTAAGTGGCAGCATTTTAATTTGGCCTGTTTCTAATCAAATATTACCTTTTCATTCCATGAGGTTCCAAATAAAAATGTACCAAAGTACAGCAGAGAGTAGGCAACATTCAGGAGTAAGCTTGGCAGGTGATACTGATAAGCAGAAGCACTCTATATAGACCAGATCAATCTGGTCTAGGCTCAGACCAGAACTCTACCATCCCATGGGAGAGATAGCAAAAGTAAGCCAGGACACAGGTGCCATCATGGCTAGAGATGTCTTAATTGGCTCTAAGGATCTTCGAAAAGTCAGCTCCCAAGGCCAAAGACTCTCCATGAGCTGCTAGGAACCAGAACACAAAGTAGGGAGGGATAGAGCTGAGACTCATTTAGCCACATGGGAGTACAGGATATCACCTGTCCAAAAAGAGGCTATATGGGCCAGGGATTTAGCTCAGTGGTTCCGCCACCTGGCCACAAGCGC